ATACGGGAAACCAGGTTCGTCATCGGTGCTCCCAGGCGGCGCCGTCTTGCTAGTGCATGGAGGTAGTCAGGGGGGTGAGGGAATAGCGAGTGCGGGAGGAAGCTGCACGCTCACAATATTATTTGTCCGGTAGAAGAGTCGAAAAATGCTTCAGTCCGAATAGTTTCTACCGCTGACGGAGTTGAAGTATTTGATACTTCCAACCTCTGTTGTCTCCAGCTCACATTATCTGACACCTTCCGCTCACTCTCCCCTCGAAAAATGCTCCTTCAATTCTATACAATTTCTACCTAGGCATACACAATTAGTCGGGCCATCCATAGCTGCTGGTCCCAATCAACGTGATTAGTGCGACCCCACAAGCGCTCGGTCGCCTAGATCACGCGTTGACCTTTGACCAACTGTCATGACCAGTCAAGCTAGTCAAAATCGGTCATGGCTTCGGTCATGACCGCGGTCAAAACAACGCTGGTTGGTCTTTCATACAACCTCTTCCTCACCCCCTTCTGAACACCCCTCAGCTACGTCTACACAACCTGGGCGGTCCTCGAACCCTGGCCCAACCTCAACTCGTTTGTCTGCGGCTCGCCGTGTGGACGACCTCACCCAGCAAGACATTGACGAGGACGCCCAGGAACCCCAGGAGGGCGACCGCTCTCACAAGGACAACCCTCGCGACTGGCACGCTGCCCTCAGATTCGTTGATGACGATGAGTCCGAGCCTGAGGAGGAAGAGGACGAAGAGGATACCCAAGAAGACACAGGTGAACTCGAAGAAGACGAGGACAGCGAAGACGACCTCCTCGATGGCGAGCTCGACGACAGCAACGAAGTCTCTTCGCCTGAATTGGCCCAATTCCTCGCCTTCCTCAAGCTCAAGCGGAAGGATAGGTCCGTGTTTCCTTCCTCCGCTCGCACGCTTCTCGCGTCTTTTTTGCTGTTCTATCATTGTCCGTCAGAGGCGCATACATCGTCGTGCGCGTTTGGGTCCAACAAGCCCTCCGTCAACCCCTTCACCATGGGCCAATTCTCTACCCTGGATCCTCACTGACGCTCGACTCACAGGGTTAACTCCAAGGGAGGCCGCCTTGTTCAACACTTCACCAAGTGGGGTCGGCACTGTCATCGATTGATCGGTGCATACACCGACGTCGCCAAGGTGATCATCTGCGGGCTGTCGATCCTCAAGGCTAGACCTAAGAACCCCGAGGACTACGACGCGTGTTACAAGGCTATGCCCAATATGTACGTTCCGACGTGATCGTACTACCGCTGTTGACACATCTCCGAATGCTTTTCAGGAGCGCAGCAACGGCCCAATTCTACATGAAGAAGTTCTTCTATATGTGCGGCAAGATACCCAAGCTCACCATAGTGTCCTCCAACCTCCTTTCACGCGCCGTTTATGTGTTCGCGTTCGCCAAATTTGTATGTATTGTTGCATGTCTATCACTGTCGCTCACCATCCTACAGATGAGAGTGCAAGCATCTGCAGGCCGATCTACTGACATTGGAACTCTGCGCCGCTCCCTCACGTCCTACCTTCCAACTGTTGTGTATGCGAGTGGTCATAGCATCCTCCCACTTAGCAGGGCTCAATACAACACTCTCAAGACGCGCAATGCTGGCTATTACTCGCCTAGCACTGCACGTCTGATAATCCCCATCGACGAGCGGGACGACTTCGACGCCGCTGACGATCTCGCAGCGTACGTCAATAGTATATACCCCGCGTACAGTCACTAATTGTTCCATCGACAGGTACTGCAAACGTAAGGCCACCCAACACAAGAACTACATGCAAGGCACCTCTCAGCAGGCAAAGAACTCCCGAGCGAAGCGCACCAGTGTGGTGTCCTTCAAGGACGACGAGTCGCTCCCCAGCTTCCTATACCCGACATATCAAAAATACGATCCCGCCAACCCGCAAGCCGCAATTTTCAAGGGCGACTTCTTCCTAGACGTAAGCCTCATTCTTTCTCGCTGCGATATCTACTGACGAAATCGGCTAGATGATACGTCATCTATGGAAGGGACCTTCCGCGGTCGGGCGTGACCTCGGGGAGCCGGGCTTGGGGCGCGCCTGCCTGGCCAACATCTATGGCGTCACCAAGATGACGCCAGACTACATCGCGTACACGGCGTCGATCGTAAGTGACCATCCTCTGCTATGTACAATTCTAATCTTCTTACCGTAGATACGTTTTTTGCTGCTCACGGACGCGCGCTGGAGCGGTGATGACAAGCAGCGTTCAGGCCATCGCTTCCACGTCACTCTCCACGAGCTTTTGTTGGGGGAATATGAAGCTTGGGAAGAGGACGTGGAGAGTGGCCAGCTCGCGTGCGGCGTCGACAAGAATGTCGACAACATCATCTCGTACTTCAACAAGTAAGTGAACGGCTCTTGGTGCATTTGTAAGCTAATGGCCTCACTCAACTGCAGATGCCTCTTGGGCTCAGAGTATGGTCATCCCGACGAGCAAAACCCCATCTTTTGGGATGTCGGGTACACGGACGATGGCAAGGACACTCTTCGCGTACGGATCCTCAACGCGCGCAAAGCTGAACTAGAGGCGCTTCGCGACGACGCCCTGAAGGCCAAGCTCAACATGTCTGCCAATCCGCGCGAGGCCTCACAGTCTCGATCCCCTTCGGTGACGATGTTCGATGGTCCACCTGCGTCTTCCCCTCCCACTTCACCTCCGCCGTCGTCTCCTCCCTCTGCGCTTCCTTGAGCGACGTGGCGGCCAACGCCGCGTAGGTAAGTGTCGTTAGCTATCATTTTGTCTTCTTGCGGGCGGGGGGATTTCTTGGCGCCGCGTGTTAGTGTCTTTGCTCCTATCTTGATGTGCTCTGCTCTTTGTGCTCTGATCATCGCATGTGTACCAGTCTCGTACTAAATAAATCATCCTCCCGCTTATGTCGTCTAGGTTGATGCCCAAGGTGGGAATCGAATTGAAAATCAATCAATGTACGTAAGTGATCATTCATAGGCAATTTTGTTCCATTCTTGCAGCTCCACACAACGTTGACGGTTTAAAGCAATCGCCACGGTACCTCCGGTCATTCGCCAGATCTGGCCGTGACGCGCGCCGCAATCTGGCTTTGGCCTGCACGCTCAATCAAAGGAAGCGCATGCGCTCCTTTTTGGGACGGCGCTCGATTCGCAACCTCGCCTCATATGACCATCTAACAAATGTGGTGCAATGTTCGCATTATCGCGGTGACATTGCATCGTATCTTCTGACATGGCGTAACCAGGTCGTTTCCTAGCTAAGATTGCCTTACCTAACCAGGCTGCATGGTAGCCGGCAATATAATTGGGTCTGCGCACACTATTTCCACCTTTGCCTAGGTGTGTATTGTCCGACATTACATTTACATTTTTGCTGATGGACGTCTCACCTTGTACACAAGCTCTCGACCACCAGACGCACGTTGTTAGCTGCGGCAGACTTCAACGTACCTTCCTGACGTTGTAAAGGAGTGTGTGCGTCAAACTGGCTGTCGGGCAAGCAGGACAAGAGGAGGGGACGGAGAGAAAGACAGCAGGCACCCGTGCAAGCAGCAAGTCCACCACGATGACGTCATTGTGTGTTAAGGGCAGGTTCCCACTGCCAGAGAACAGACTTCGCGTCTCTGGCCCCTGTAGTACTGTACATGTTGGTGATAGAACTGTTCCCTGAGCCGGAATTGCGGGACAATTCCCCATACAGAGCAAAAGTGTCGTGTTGAGGGCACTAGTGTGAACGCGCTGCAATTATGCCGGCTTCCTATGTCTTCGTACAGATCGTACCATGCTTCTACTCCGGCTAGCGATGCTTTGTGCATCAGAAATGTGATCTCGTCCCGGAGTACCTCAGCTTCACCAGCTTGAATGAGCAGGGGAGGCAAACCCTTGAAGTCGCCAAACAATAGGCTTGCTGATGCCTGGCTTAGCGGCATGACGAAGGGAAAGCCCCTAGAGCAAGCAGCCTAGATCTTCTTGCACAGCGAGGAGAAGTCACACGGTCCTAGAGACAGACTCAAGCTAGCTTGTACATAACAGAGCCACAGCTAGAGACAATCGTAGACGTCATGTCCTTAGAGAGATGCCCGTCCGATCTCGCAACGTTAGAGCTAAATCAGACACGTCAAATGGGCGCTCAAATACGCCCGTCCGACCGAAATCGACACGGCACGAGTATTGACAGCTGAACACCATCTCGCACGCCCCAAATCGATTGAAACCATGCACGTTCTCACTGGGACTCAGCGCTGGGCCAGAAATGGCTGCGATACAAACTCAACATAGTGCAGATGTTGCATGCTGTCGTTACAACATCAGTGAAGATCATTGGTGCAGAGTCCAGTGTCGTGCATTGGTTCACTTGAAAGTATATGAGATGACGAACACGGTGTAGATTGGCAGGGACGCTCGGCGCCGCTTGTGACCCCCCTTCATGTAACCGTCGCGGTACAATTGGCGACAACCTCTGCGGTGTTATTCCGTGCTGGTTTCACGGCAATACCGTCGAAAAACCCCCCTTTGCTCATTCTGAGTGGTCTTATGTGAGAATGGCTATCATAAGATATCAAAATCGAATTACTCTAAACGTGTCCTGTTGCACACTGACCTCGCGTCTGTTGGCGTGCAAGCGCCGACGAAGTCTCGAGAACGTTGGGTTTCGTACCTGAGCGCCTGCGCCCACATGGCGAGCTTATCGCCCGCCACCATCAGTCGCGGGCGCTCCCCGTCGCTCACTTATACCGACGTTTGTGTCGACCAGTGCCTCAGTCTTTTCCCCACTGAGGCACTGGTGAGTGTCGCGGCAACTAGGCGCGTGGACTCGGGTCGACGTTCGGCGACGACCCCGTAGGTGAGCGGCAAGGAGCCGAAAGGGAAAAGAGAGAGGGAGAGGGATAAACGTGACAGAAAACTCGACGAGGGCAGAGCGGAGGTCGGCACGAAGGCACGAGACCTACGAAAGCTAGTCTTCACGCAGACAGCGACAGACTAGTCCCAATGACCAAGTTATACATTAGCAATCGAAGAGAGATACAACGCTATGGTCACTCACCTAGTCCCAATGACCAAGAGGTCGAGATGGGGACTAGGGAGCGCCTAGGGGGGTCCTTATATATACTAGAGGGGCTGCTTAGCAACCAAGGACAAGGCGCGAGAGCGAGGCAGTGAAGATGACAAAGGGAGAACAAAGGGCGAGAAAGAAAAGGCAAGGGCATGGCGATCACGGGAACGTAGCATGCGGTTGTGGGAACGTATCTACAGTGTCCAAACTGGGATGAGCTAGGAAAGGAAACGGTCCGGAAATGGAAGGTGGGCGTCAAAGGGAAGGGAATGGGCGGCAAAAAGGGGCGTCTGTCCAA